TCACAAGATGTCTCTAAACAACAGCTTCCTATGGGCAACTAAGCCCAGAAGGCGCAACGCTGGCCACGCATTTCTGTTCTGGTCACACTCCCAGCTCCCTAATCTTTTCCCCTCAAACTCTAAAAGGAAGATCACAGGGACCTTGTGTCCTGATCCAGAGTGGAGTAGAACCCCGCCTACTAAGCCCTCCCCAGCGTCCCTTACTGTTGGGCCACACAAATACTTCCACAGCAAGCTCACAGGGGCACAGAGGACCTCAGAGGGGTGCAGTAAGGGCTGCACTAGTGCCAGCCCTGCACATCCAAGGCACCACGCAGGCTGCTGCACTGCTTCCTGACTCATCCATCTCTGGCCACCTCACTCCGGCTGTCCCCAAGCTCAATCACTGCCCTCCTCCAGAAGGGCTCCCACGCTCTTTTCTCAGCTCCCAGTACTCACTAACATGCCTTGTTGCTGCCTAATTTACACCCCCAAACCCAGTATGAGAAGGATATCCTATTCAGTGGAATCCTAGGTGCACACATGTGCACGCACACGCACACCCACCAGGCCTGACACAGCACATGCCACAGAAGGTGCCTGCTGAGCAGGTGAGGCTGAGGAGAACCCAGCCCAATGCCAGCACTCCCCAGCCAGGTCCACTCCCAAACAACACCCTGGCTATCACACATCAAAGCCAACTGGGCTGTTCCACGGGTCCTGCCTATGCCTGAGAATGGCCCCCACTGTGCCCCTGGGCCCCAGAAGCAGAGTAGCAGGAGAACTGCATCCACCTGATGGGCATCCAAGATTCCTGCCGGGCTCTGCCAGCTTTTCTGGGAATCCTGAAGTGCTGTGGGAGTCCCCGAGCTCTGACTCTGGGGAAGGGTGAAGCTGGTGCCTGGGAATGCTGAGGGGAGGAGACACTGCAAGGCTTCCTCTTGGGGGATCCTTCAGGCAGGACTAGCCTAGCCAACTGTGGAGGACACTACAACACTGCTGGCCAAAGGACGCACTGACAAGCAGGCCTGCAAGCATCCCCCAGCAGACATGCCCTTAGCACCCACAGCCAGCCCAACATGGGAGCCAGGGGAGTAGGCAAGTGACACAATCGGTTCCTAATGACAAGAAAAACAGTGCATTTACCCCAGGCCACAGACAGAGCTCTTTTACCCACAGTGACCATTTCATTTAACATTCAAAATAACAAAAGAATCCATCCACCTTCACATTACAGGTGGGGAAACTGAGGATTAGAACAAAGAATGGACTTGCCCAGGGTCACAGAGCCAGGAGGCAGCAGAAATAGATCTGGGGCTGTGAGACAAAGTAGAACAGGGGGATTCCTGGGATAATGCTTAGGTTCACAGACCCGGGAATGGAAAAGTTCACAAGCCTTGCCCACCCTGCCTTGTCTCCACCTCTAAAACACACACACACACACACACAAAACCCCATTTACAGCAGGCACTAGGAAACACTGGCTCCCTTCATATCCAGAATCACTGCAAATGTGGGCCAAGTTTATTTCTGGGATATTTTGTTTGCTTGTCCCAAAGAGCCCCCAGCGGCCAAGGGATACATGCCCAACAAGTGTGCTTAACTGGCAGTTGCACCCGCAACCTCTCCTCACCCCTGCCAGGATACCCACAAACAGCCACAGACTCACTAGGCGGGGTACTGACCATCCCACCTCTCCCTGCCCTGGGCTCCAACAGGTCTCTGAGGGGCAGCATCTCTTCCCTTCCCTGCCCCAATGCCTAAGGTGATGTTCTGGGTCGAGCCAGCAGCATCTTCCCCTAACATTCTCAAGGACAACTGAGTAGACAGGGTCCCAGCTCAAGTTCCTGATGCTCGGCTGGCAGGAAGCAAGAGTGTGGAAGCCCCACACCTGGACCCATTCCAAGAGGAGCACAACTTCTGCCCTGTCTACCTTGAAAGTGTTTGAAACCTCAGGACAAAACAGGCAGTTTGTGGGTCCTGAGACCCATGCCCAACACTTGGCAGCCAGAGGAAAAGTCTGTAGAATGAATGAACAGCTACCTGTGAGGTGTCGTATGCCAGAGGTTCCCCAGAACAAGTGCAGTCCAGTGCTTGACTCTGTCCAGGGCCAGCCAGGGACTGAAAATGTGTCCCAGCCTGACTCCTACCAAGCTGTCCTTGGGGGGCTGAATGGAGGAGAGGTGGCATGAGAGTCCCCCCCAACCTGCTGTAAGGCATGGCATCTGCAACCCAAAATGTGCTAGAGGGTAGAGGTGACCACTGTCATCCTACCCTGGCCTGGGGCCCTGAAATCAAGGACTGTGGATTCTCTTCAGTGAATCCTGGCTCTGCTTCACTCTTTTTTTTTTTTTTTTTTTTTTTGGTCTTTTTACTTTTTATCGGTACTGGGGATCAAACTCACGACTGCCTGCTTGCAAGGCAGGCGCTTATGCCACTGAGCTAAATCCCCAGCCCCCTCCAGTTCACTTCTGTGATTTAGTGTCTCAGTGGCAAGCTTAGCATGAAGCTGATCTTTACTTCAGGAACAACACCAAGCCCAAAACAGTTACAAAACTCCATCCCCTGGTTTGTCATCATGGCATCCCCAGGGCATGGGGCCACAAGCAGAAGGGATAGCAGGGACTTTGTTATGTATAAAGTCTGGGTTTCTTTGTGTTTACATCTAAAGCCCCCTGCAGCTCCCCACTGTCCAGTCCGAAGCAGTAGCTTTCGGCAGCCCTAAACCTAGCCCCATTCGCCTGAGGAAGAACAGACACATGATGTGACAAAAGGTTCTCCAGCTCAAAAAGTGTACCAACCTCAGGTTTCCAAACTGCACTGTGGGGATGCGGCTCCACCCTTCCATCATCTGAACTCTTCCCACCCAGACCCTGTCCCTTTGTCCCAGCTCTCACCTAGACGAGGGAGTTCCAGCAGCAGGACAAAGGTAGAACCAGAGCTCTCCACTGTGCCCAGAGGACTGTAAAGGTGATCCCCCCACTCCCCGGCTCAACAAAGCCTTCCCAGGACACCTCCCAGGGGGCTCATCTCCCTCTCCTGAGTGGCTCTGGCTGCCCCAGTGGGCTGTGGGCTCTTGGGGTGGATGGGTCGGGTCTTCAGGCCCAGGAGAAAAGGGCAAAGGGAAGAACAATGGATGCCAGGACACAATTACCAAGACAGCCTAGGAGTCAGACCATGGTGGCCCTAGTAAAGCTCGGCAACTCGGCAAGGACCAGCGCTCCCCGACCCCAGGTAGGGAGGGGGCAAATGTGGTGTAGCACTAGATTCTCCCTGAGAGGTGACTGTCCCTTTCTGCAGTTCAGTGTCCCCATCTGTACCACTCTGGCACAGCGGCAGAGACTGCCGCCTTTCCTGTGCAGACAAGATGCTGAATAGCACTGGCCTTACTTCCATCCCTCCGCTAGACCTAGTGAGACAGTGCAGTCCTCAGTAATCACTCCCACTCAGCACAAGGCCAGAGGTTCCAGTTCTCCTCCTTCTGACCAAAGGTGACTTTCCCAGCAGAACACGGAACTGCCCTGCCCTGACTCTACCCAGCTCCTGCTGGGCTCCTTCCTCACCCACGTCAAGTGGGAGATAGAGACCAGTGCCAGGAGGGTGTGCCAGCATCTCCTCCCCCACAGGCTCCACCTTGCCTGGGCCAATCCCTCAGGCACCCACACCTGCTCTTCTACCCCGCCAGCCTACACTTCCACACCCAGCTCTCCTATGGGGAAGAAAGGGGGCTCCCAGCCCTGGATAACGGGAAACCTTCACCAAGCTGGAAGAGGCAAAGACGAGATGACCCACAGTCACTCTGTAAAGGTGACCAAAGCTGTGCAAACCATGAGTACGTCCCATCCTAGACTTTTCCTCATTGCAAGGTGCCAAGAAACTTACCCAAGGGCAGTCAAGACCCTTGTAGGGAAACTTGCAAATGGGAAAGTGAACTGCTGTCTCCATCTGGGATCCTCAACTCCAAATACCTCCAGGCCCTGTATCTGGCTCCCCGCTCACCACCCTCAACACTTGGGAAACCGACCCGTTCAAAGTGGCTTGGTCTTGGATCGCACCTGACATCTAAGCCGCGGAAGTCAAAGTGGACACCCCTCCTTGGGCGGACGGGCCGGGGCTCCCCAATACAAGTCCCATGGCTCCTACATCTACACAACACAGCCGGACGCTGGCTGCGACTGACGCAGGGCGTCCCGTGGCCCCTTCGCGGAGATCCGGCTCCAGAGCGGTCTGGGCCCGGGCAGCCCGGCCAGGCGCTCCGCCCCCGCGCCCGGAATCCATCGCCCGCGGCCGGTGAATCATTAACGCACCGCAGCTAGCGCGGCGGCCCCGCCGACTTCCCACCCGCCCCCCCCCGAGTCTGGGGGCGACGCGCGGCGGCCCCCACGAGAGGCCGGGGGGACCTCGCCCCGCCGGTGCGCCTCCCGACCCCGCGCTCCGCGCTCCGCGCTGCCGAGGAAACTGAGGCTCGGAGACGGGGCCAAGGTCACCCAGCGGGCGGCGGGGAGGGCCGAGAGCCACTGCCGGCGACTTCCCGGGCCTGGAGCGCTCGCGGGCCGCTGCCCCCGACCCCGCGCCCGGCAGCGAAGGCCCCCGCTCGCCCCGTGCCCCAGCGAGCGAAGCCGGCTCCGACCGCGCGCCGCGCTCACCAGGTAGTTCATGGTGCCCCGGCGACCCGCGACCTGCAGAGCCTGCCACGCGCACTCGGGGCCCCGGGCGCGCCCCAGCTGCCGCGGCGCGAACGCGGGTCCCGCAGCCTCCGCCGCCGCCTGGGTCGTCCAGAGCCGGTCCCGCCTCGCTCCGCCCGCCGCCGGCGCCGCGGTCCGGCCGGCCCAGCCCGGCTCCCGGCATGCCCGGCCGCGCGCGCCCATTGGTCGCCGCGGCTCCGCATGTAAATGAGCCGCCGGCCGAGGGGCGCGCGGGCGGGGCCGGAGAGCGCGGACACGAGCCCGGCCGGACAGCCCCGCCGCGGGGCTCCGGCGGTGCCTTTTCCTCCGCAACGCTCCCGCCGCCACCGCGGGCCAGAACGCGTTCCTCCAGCGTCTACGCAAACGCCTCCACCTCTGGGAAGCCCGTCGGGATCTCTTTCTCCGGCTCTGCAGCCCTCGCCGCGTCCCCTCCAGACTCCGCCTCAGGTTGACTTTGCCTTTCCCACCCGCCGACCCCTGGCCATTCCACGCAAGTCCATCGGGCCATCCGACTGAGACTGGAAGCCAGAGTTAGGGGAGAGGCGTGCCCCAGCCTGCAGAAAAAGAATGACAAGCAAGGTGTTACTGCACAGGCGAGGATACCAAGAAATAGAGACAGTGGGAGGCTGTGCTCTCGCCAGGCTGCGCCTCCTCACCCGCTCCATTCCTCAGGCCTTCGGGGACTCCAGCCCATCTCCCTAAGTCCCAGGGGAGCAAATCGAGCGCTTATCCATTCCTGGCCCAAATGCACCCGGGGACCACAGGACAAGGATCCCAGGAATTATAGAGTTGACACTATCCGCCCTTCCAGCCTCGCTGCAGCCTCCCTTGCCCTGCTTCTATGACAGTTCCACCCCAGGAGACCTGGCAACCCCATTCCTGAGTCAGTGTTGTCCAGCACCCTCCCAAAACCTGCTCCAACTTGCCTGTTTCAAAAATATGGGTGTGCATGTGCATATGCATGTGTGAATGGGGAGAAGGAAATATCACTGCAGGGACGCTGGAGAGCCTTGGTTGTCTGCAGTCTACCCCCACCTTGCATGTTGCAGGTCAGACTGCGTCACTGTGCACAGCAAAAGCAGGTGTCACAGTTCCTGAGCACAGTCCAGGGAAGCACAGTGGTCTAAGGCGTGGAACCTGCTCTAGACCACACAGGACCAATCGGAGTTCCCTGGGCTGCTCCCAGTACCAGGGGAGCTGGGGGGGAGGGGGGGCATAGTAGACTTGGCTTCACCCAGCAGCAGAGAATTTGCAGGCATTTCAGGCAGGAGCCTGAGGATCTTCCACTGCCCCTCCACCGACAAGCACCTACACACTGGGCAGATGTTCAAGGCCTGTGACCTCTCTGCGCTTCTCTCCCATCTGTAAATTGCAGGGGCTGGCCTGGGGCAGGCCAAGTCAGGCTGCTCACAGGTCTTGGGGGAGTTCATTAAATGATTCCTGGCCCTACCACTTCTGAAAAGCCTGTCACCCACCATCACCTCCTTTCATTCTCCCCAGCTCTGGCTTGGGAACTGCAGGTCAGAACTCACAGCACTGTTAAGTAGGTAAGGAGCACTGACCCAGAGTCCTAGAAAGAAATAGGACAACTGGCCAACATGCTTCACACACACAAACCCAGTAACACCATTTTCCCACAAGGAAAGGAGGCAGCTCTCAAAAACATGCCTGGCACACCCTCTCTTGCTAGTCTCCACGTGCTGCCACCAATGCCTCAGCCTGGAGCAGTGGCCGGAGAGCGGGCCTGGACCACACACCAGCATCTGTCTGCCAGTGGCAGGTGCTGAGGAGTCCTCGGGTGATCCTTAGGGCTCTATTCCCGAAGGGAGGGGCAGGGACCAGGGGCTCTAGGCTGTAGGTCTCTGGGGGATGGAAAGGGACTTGAAAGGCCTGGCCCTCAAAGGAGCTGGCCCCTGCTCCATCCTAGCTGGCCAAGGGTGGGCCATACAGAGAAGAGGTGGCTGACTGGGACCTCATGAATGGGAGACCCTCATCTCTCAGGAGCTGGGTTAATGGGGCATTGGGGGTGGGGCTGCTGGTGTGGATGAGGCAAGTGGGGGAAGGGAAGTAGGCTCAGGCATTTCAAAAATTTGCTCCTTTCCACTTAAACACCCCCCCCCAAGCCTGTGCCTCCCAGAATGGCATTTCCGGTTTGAAAGGAGGCCCCAGGATGTGTTTGGGGGAGGGGCACCCACTAAGTTGGCTCTGGCTGGGGTACTGGGGCCAGGACCTCACACTACCCTGTTGGGTCTCTCAGGCCCTGCGGCTGCCAAGGAGTACTGACAGGAGGCAGCCCTGTGCGCCAGACCCACCCAGAAGGGACAGAGCTGGCAGCCAGGGGAGGGCAACGGGACTGCGGGGCCACCATGACAGCTCTGCAGCATGGCACTGGTGAGGGTTACAGTAGGGACATGGCACTCCAAGGGTACCTGGGGCTTTAAGCCAAAGTCACATTCTGAGACTCAACCCACCCACTCCACCTCAACAAACAAAGCTGCCCTCCCCACAGGGCCAGCACCACTCCCACCCCCACTGCTGGCTGGGTGGGACCTCAGAGGTGGTGGACAGACTGGCCAGGCTGAAGGAATCTGTGGCTGCCCCAGGAACGGGTTGTGGAGCCATGCACATGTGTGGCCATGTAGGGGACCAGCAGCAAGGATCAGGGCCCCAGCAACAAAGCTGGCAGAAGGCTCTGCTGGAGAAGCACAGAAGCACAGCCAGGCGCCGCTCTCCCGGACAGCTGTCAGTCATCCCAGGAGTGCCTCTCACCAGATGTGTGGAGATGTCGCAACCTGTAGGGCCTGAATTAGTTACCCGTGCAGGAACATGTGGGCCTAGCACATGGGGACACTGACTCTCACTGCCCACAGTGGACTCCAGTGGGAGAGATGCCTAGGGTAGGGCTTATGCCATCTGGGCTTTCTGAGGTCTCAGCTTTGGTACAGATCCACTGCACAAAAGAACCACTCCTTGCTTGGTGCCTAAAAATGCCCAGGGCAGCATGTATGCAAGCAAAAATGGAGAGAAGCATAAGTCAACGGTCAACTCCAAGGGACTCTTAGACAAACCAGGACCTCAAGGGAAAACAGGCCATGAAAAGAGCGACTTGCAAGGACCAAAAAATGTAGGACAATGCTTATGACTGAGCAAAATGCAGACCTAAAACAACCTGCATGGTTCGACAACACACAACCCTGCCTCTCCCAAGGCTTGGGCTTGCCTGCAGCACAAGGTGGTGTGCTGGATGTTCCCTGACAGGCAGCTCTGGAAGCGGAAGCAGGAAAGGATTTCCTGAAGCCGGAGGTGAGTGCTGCCAAGCCCCAGGGAAGGAAGAAACCAAGTCACTGGAGGGCCAGGGAGTTGTCACTTTTCCCTGGGCTAGTGACTCTCTGGGTGAGGGAAAGGGTATACAGACTCTTGTGGATAGCCCAAAAAAGAAGCAGGCCCAGATTTTAGTCCTTGCTGCGCCCTGGGCACCGGGAAGGAACTCAGTGCACTGGCCAGCCCACACCCATGATCCCTACTGAGTGACCTTGGCTTGTCCCCACAAATGCACAGGTGGCCCCAGACAGAGCAGTGTGCCCACGTAGGGCGGGTATTGGAGCTGTCAGCCTCAAGAGCTTTCCTACCCCCCCTGCTCTCCAAGGCTGGAGTGACTGATAGGCAGGCCATCGTCACTACTGCGGTGATTCTGTGTGAAATTGGGCACATACCCTGGGCCAATCATCCTTCAGCATCTCTCAGGCCAGTTGCCACAGAGCTGGATGCAGAGGGAGAAAACCAAGGTGTGGGGTACCACGAAGAAGGACCAAGTGAAGGGACACAGCCCAGGGGTGGGAGCCGCCAGGTATACACTGACCCAGGCCTCCCTGCACCCCACACCCAGGCCTCAGCCCAGTAAATCCAGCATGTACCCACCTATCAAGGCGGCTCCCCTGCTCCACTGGCGGCTTTCCTGGAGCAGGAGGCCAGGGGCGGTGCGCCTGCCTCTCCTGGTGTGTCACAATTTCCTAATGTAAAAAGTAAAGGGTGGCAGAGGTGCCTGCCCGGGAGCAGAGTGGGGCTCTGCATGGCCAGCTAGGGCCAAGGCTATGGTGGGTGTCCGTGCCCTCTTCACTCTCATGCCCTCCTCTCCTACTTCCCATACTCTCCCCTCCGGCAGGGGCCTCCTTGGGTGCTGGCCTATATACATGCACTGAGGAGGACTCTGGGGTCAGCTCCTGTATCCTTAGCACCCCTCAGCAAAGCTCCGCACTTGGGGTATTAGGAGTCAGGCAGGCAGAAGAGACAGGGACGCGGGGGAAGGCGGCACATGGGGGCAGGTCCCTGTCCTCAGACAGAAAACTCAGCGGCTGGTGACCATCCCACTCCTTTGACAGGCTGGGTAGGCAGCGAGAGGGTGTGGTCAAGAGGCCTCCCCAGCCTGGCCATCTGTTCTCTGCCTCTCCCATGGCAACCGGTCAGGCAGACCCCGGGGAGGGGAGAGATTTCACACGCCATCTGCTGCCCACCCCCTAGCTGCTTCCAACCAACACAGGTGCTCATACCCACAGATGCCCACAGAGGGGCAGAACGGAGTCACCATCCCACTCTGCTGGAGTCAGCAAGTCAGGGGACCAGCAGGGTCACAGAGGAGGACCCAGAGGCTCTGCGATGCAAGCACAGGAAGGAGTAAACTCAGAGAAGACAGCCATGGCAGCCCCTCCTGGACATTCTCGCCCCCACCGGGCCCGTTCCAGCCCAAGGAGAAGCGCACTGCTGGCCCCAGGAGATCCAGGACCAGGCCCTTGCCCAGGTTTAGCCTGTGAGGACAGGAGCAGATACTGATCACTGCTACTAGTCGTGTCACCCTTAGCCACCCTTAGACTCTCAGGGCCCCAGTTTGCATATGGGTTTAGTGTAAGCTCCTTTAGCAGCTGTGCCCATCCCCGGGCCCTGGGACCCACAGCACGTGCAGGCTGTCCAGGGCACACGGTACCCAGTGTCGTGCTCCAGCTGCACTCCCACACCTGCACACAACACATCCAGTCCCCGGAGGGACACCAGGGCACACAGAGGTACACAAGCCCATCCCTGTCACTCACACCTGTAGACACAGCAGCCACAGCATGCCAGGTGGGGAGCTGGATAGGGCTGTGCAGCCAGTCCCAGCCTCAGAATGCTTATACTCCAGGCGGGGGGCGGGGGCATGAACAGATGAACATTCATTTGTTGTGGTGACAAGGAGGACTCTGAGGGAGAACAAAGGAGACAGCAAAGTGACAGCACTCCCCTATTTTAATACAAGGTGGTTGGGGAACCTCTCTAAGGAAGTGGCATTTGAACAGATGTGTGAACCTTCTGCTAAGGCTCCTTATGCAGAGAAACTAACAATGAACATGGTAAAAATAGCACAGGCAGGCTGCTCTTTTCCCCAGTGGGAGGAGCCCAAGCAGCAGCAGAGAGGCCTGGGGACTTGATGTCCAGGGGGCTCTCAATATAGTCTCCCCCCCAATCCAAAAGTCACCCACCTGGCCCCTCTAAAGTGGTAACAACGAAGCAACTGAATGAGGCTCTAGAAAAAAATCAACAGTCCCTCCCCAGCTCTGTGTGTGTGTATGCACATGGGTGTACATGTGTGTTGAGACAAGAGTCTCACACGGCTGGCCTTGAACTCATGACAATCCTCCTGCCTCAGCTTCCCAAAGTCTGGGATTATAGGCGTGAACCACCACACAGCCCTCCCCAGAGGTTTGCTTGTTTAAATAAACAAACAAACAAACAGAATCTTTGTATGTAGTCCAGTCTGGCCTCAAACTCATGGTGATCTTGCCTCAGCTTTCTGAGTGCCCTCTTGGGCAGGGGATGGGGGTAATATGCTTCTGGGTTTGGGATTCTGAGTTGAAGTAGGAAGCTGTCTGCCTGTTGGGGTGTCTCATGGAAATCCCATTCTTGCTGGGGAAGGAAGGAAGGACACAGTCAGCTCCTGGGACAGGCTCCATCTTCTTTTGACTTCCTGCTTTCCTTAAAGTCCTTGCAGCCAGGACCTAGGCAGGCAGGAGTCCTGGAAGCAACAGATATGACCCAACTGCCTAAGGTTAGCCTGCCAGGTAACCTGGGAAGAGGAATGCAGACTCCCAGACACCTGGCGAAGACTGTGGTCACACCACTTTCTGAACAAGCATGTAACTTCTGTAGCTCCAGTATTTGGAGATACTGTAACTCTTTGGGCATGTCCCTAGGCTACATGATCAAGTATCAGATTTTATAAAATACCAAAATTTGCCAGACACAGTAGCACATGCCTGTAATCTCAGTACTCCCAGAAGCCTGAGGCAAGAAGATCACAAGCTTGAGCCTAGCCTGGGCAACTGACTGACTTAGCAAAGCCCTGATGCAATTTTTAAAAATTTGAAAAGAGCTGGAAATAAAGCTCAATGTGAAGGTTTAATTTCAGTACCCCACCCCCCAAAAAAGCAACCCAAATAGTTTATTATACCAACAATGTGCCAGTGTCCCAGTACTTAAAAATACACATCACGCAGAAGGCATCATGCTTCATGTTTGTAATCCCAGCATTTGTGAGGCTGAGGCAGGAGGATCAGGAATTCAGTGCCAGCCTATGAGTTTAAGATTAACCTGGAAAATAGTATGAGACCCTATCCCCTGAAAAGAACAGAAACAAAAACAAAAACAAATTCCACAGCATATAAAAGCTGGAGTCATGGGCTGGGGATTTTGCTCAGTGGCACACACCTGTCTGGCAAGTGCAAGTTCCTGAGTTCAATTCCTGATACAAAAAAAAAAAGGCTGGAGACAGCTAGCTATCTGCAAGAGAATGGATACATGCACTGTGCCTTATTCATAAGCAGATTCTACTTAGCAACAGGGAAAGAATGAACTGCTTGTCCTCACCACACGGAAATCTCAAAACCATAACGCTGAACAAAGAGTGCCACGAGCTTCCACAGGTACACAGCTCAAGAACAGGGAAATCTAACCCAGGAATGAAAATCAGAATGGGGCACGGCACGGGACTGCGCACCTGTAACCCAGCTATTTGGGAAACTGAGCCAGGAAGATAAAAAACTCAAGACTATTCTACTACACTAGTCAATTCAACAAGACCCCGCCTCAAAAATTAAAGGGCTGGGGGGTGAGTTCAGTGATATAGCATCCTTCTAACCTGGGTTCAATCCTCAGGACGCACAGTTCTAGAAGCTGTGGTGGGGGTGACCAGAATGGTGGCCACCCTGTATAACAGGACTCCTGGCTTTTGAAAAGGGGCTGTTAAGAACTTTGTGAGGTGTCAGAGGCATTTATTATCTTGAACTGAGTTAAGGTTGCAAAGAAGCTTGTATTAGACAAAATGTACTCAACTGTACATTTCACATCTGTCATTTCATAATGTGTTAAAAAAAAAAAAAAAACTACTCCAACAAATGAGTCTCAACCAGTAAAAGCAAAATAAAACAAAGCACCAAAGAAAAATTCATGGAATACAAAACACAGGGGATGTAGCGCAGGGGTAAAAGCGCTCACCTAGCTTGTAGGAGGCCTAGCTTGTAGGAGGCCCCGTCCTATCCCCAGTATAGCAAACCAACCCAACAGGTGGGTGGGTATCCCACACTTAGCACCAGCAGGGGCCTGGGTTTGATTAGGGGGCAAAGTGCAACCCCAGGTATTATAATCCTAAACCTACTACGCTACTCTTTTCTGTCCTGGCTGTCAAGGGAGCTTCAAGTTAAATTTCGGTGCCTACTTAGCCTAGACTGTCTGGAATAATTTTTCTTCCTTCCTCATATGTGACATAGTTCTGGATATTTTAATCATCTCGACTGTTTGTGTCTTCTAATATAATCTTGCTTCAAATCCTTTGTGGAATTTGTCAGGGTTTACATAATAAGTTAAAATTACTGAAAAGCCCCTCAGCTTCTAATCCCCCCTAAAAGAGATTAACTTTAGAGCCTCAACTTGTGACCGTCTCTCCTGCCACGGTGGGTACCCTTCAGCGCCCCTCCAAGGTTCCACCCGTGCCGGCCTTATGTCTTGAGGAGAGGGAGACAATACCCCAGCAAAGAGGGACTAAGAAGACGGAGACAAAGCAACAGCATGCAGCAATAGCAAGCAGCTGTGCAGAAGCCAGGGCAAGGGGCAGCGGCGCACTGAGGAGCACAGAGGATAGAACCTGGTGCCCTGTGTAGACACTGGAGGTCTGCAGGGGCCACCCACAACCCTGCACTCACAACTCGGTCCTGAGCCGCTGCCTAATGGGTACCCATGCAGGACCAGGCTGCAGCGCACCATGCCTGAGGGCAGGCCTGCACCACGCAGCAGATTCCACTGCCTGAAGTGCCACCCCTGTCCTGGGACCATGAGAGGTGGAGCACCCACCAGGCCATGTGGGGGCCAGCTGGTGGCCCCACTGCAGGCCACTCTGTTGGTGGGTTGAAGACAGCAACCCTCCCCCAAGACTTAAGGAGAAGGGGCCTCGTGGCTCCGGCAGAGCATAGAAGAGGCCCGGTCACCTCACCACTGAGACTCTGGAGGGAGCCACACAGACCACACAGAAAGGGCCACTGGAGGCAGACTGGGCCAGTCACAGAGAACCATGGGATATGGGCTGACATGGCCCGGAACTGTCCACAGCCTGCATGCAGGAATTGGGGGAGGGTCCCTGGCCACCACGCCAGACAGCTGTGGCAGGAAAAGGCGATGTTCTCACAGCAGTAGCCAGCAGGGCAGCCTCTTACTAAGAGCCGCTCGTTTCTGTTGCCAAAGTCTCCCCAACCCCGTGGGCTCAGTGCTGCTAACATCCCTATCACTCAGATAAGAAAATCAAGGCGCATCAAGGTCCTGTAACTCACGAGGTATGGAGCTAGCATGGAGCCCTTGCCCTTGACCACCAGAGTGTTCCCTCAGCCCTGAAACCACCTCTCTGGGACCCCTCTCAGCCCCCAAAAAGGTGTCAGAGGCCAAGGTGTCAGGCTCCGTACAGGGATATAGTGACCTTTTTTGGAGACAGAGACTCATAATATCACTTGAACTCACAGGCTCGCATTGAATTCATGATCCTCTGCCTCAGTGTCTCAAACACCCCATAACACCTGGTGTGTGGTATGCATTTTAAGTACTGGGGCATGACACACTGTTGGTATAACACCTTGTTTGGGTTGATTTGGGGAGACAAGGGAGGTGGCCAAAGGCAAGCAGGAACAAGAGGCAGAGAGGGCAAGGAGGACATGAATCCAGGCTTTGGTGCACCTGCAGTCTTATGAGGAACCAAATGACTCCACCTACAAATGCACAATCACAAATGGGGAAAAGAGGCTCCTCAAGGGTGGTGCTGCGTGGGGAGCAGGACCGACCTGGTGAAGGAGGCCAGGGCAGGAAATTAGTTCTCTAGAGCCCTGGGACAGAACATGTGGCAGCAGCACTGGAGACCATGCTGAGGACTTTGGACTTGGACACTGCCTCTTCCCATCCTATCTTCTTGAGCCCTTTCTACAAGGCCCCAGTTGGCTACTGCCCTCATGGCCACTTTGCTAGCTCTGCTACTCACAGCACCAGCGGGCATAGGACCAGGCACAGGTTTGTGGTGGTGGGAGGTAACAATGGGAGTTAAGCCCTGACAACTGAGCTCCGCTGGTCACTGTTGGGGACAGGCACGGTGAGACAGGGGCTGCCCAGCCCTGGGCGAGTTGCCTGGCCTCTCTGACCTCTGTCTCTCAGGGGAACAAAAGAGGTTATAAAAACTCATGCTTAGAAAGCCACAAGCAGGCTGGGCCTCCTTCAACAGCTCAACCAGCAGCAGCCCCCACAATTAGAGGCCACACAGGATAATGGTCACTTTATGGCTTAGATCTTGCCAGACTTGGTTCCCATCCTGGCTCCACCTCTCACTGGCCATGGGACCCTGGCAAGATGTAAGCCCTGCCTGAGCCGGGAAGGCCCAGCTCATACCCAGCACGCAGGACACGCTCTGTGTAGGGTATCACCTGCACTCTTTTTTTTTTTTTTTTTTTTTTGTCTTTTTGAGACAGGGTCTCACTATGCAGTTCAGGCTGACCTTGAGCTCACTCTGTAGCCCAGGCTGGTCTCGAACTTGCAACAATCCTCCTGCCTCAGCCTCCCGGGATTACAGGCACGAGCCACCAACGCCCAGCTATCACCTACACTCTTTACAACAGCCTCTCAATAGAAGAGTATCCAGGGGCTAGACAAGCAGGACCTATTTCACAGACAGGAAGCTGGAGGCAGGCAGATAGCAAGGGCTTCTCTGCAAGCATCTTGCCACTCTTGAGCAGAGATCCAATGCAGTGCTAGACAGGGGTCCCGGGTAGATGACACAGTCATTTTTAAGGGTGAAGCCAGCTTGGGGAGAACAGACAGAGCCTGGACAGCCACCCTCAAGAGGAAGGCAGCTATCCAAGAACAACCAAGAAACACTGCTCTTCGCTTGAAGCACAGGAAGAAACATTAAGCAGGGAGCCAGGGACACCACAGTGCTGCCCTCTCCAGCCCCCAGACCCCATGGGAGTCCACGGCAGGGTGAGACCCCTAGAATACCCCGCACAATCCGGCCCATCCCAACCTCTTCCCTCGCCACTGTCACCTCCCATCCCGTGTCACCTCCCATCCCGTGTCACCTCCCATCCCATGTTACCTCCCATCCCATGTCATTTCCCATCCCATGTCACCTCCCATCCCATTCAGAAGCATCTTGTAATTTCTGTGGTCCAAAGTGCCTGCATCAGCCACATCCAGGAAAAGACTGCCCAAATGAA